ACACACACACACACACACACACACACACACACACACACACACACACACCGCTCTTATTGAATGTCTCTCTATTGCTTATCTCCTATTTATCCTACATAGTTGTTTTCATATTGTCTCCTTCATTAGACCGAGAGCTCCTTAAGAGCAGGGATTGTCTTTTATTTATCTTTGTCTTCCCAGTGCTTAGCATATCACCTGGCTCATAGCAGGTATAAAAGGCCCATTTACCTTCCTTCCTTCCTCCCTTCCATCCTTCCTTTCTCTCTCCCTCTTCCCTTTTTTTTAAAAAATTTCTTAAGTACTTATGGGGGGACCTAAAAATTTTCAATTACTCCATGAAACAATGAGACAAACAAATACTCCATTTCTGCTGCTCAACTTCAAGCAAATTATTAGAACCACACAGCACTCAATTGTACTCATATGGTTCAACAACTGGGTTAGTCATACCTCCCCATGGCCTGTACAAGATGGTAAATAAATAATCATTTGTTGATTACTAAAAATAAGTTAAGAATATGAGGAATTCAGAGACATGTGGAAAGACATATGGAGTGGTAGAGAGTGGAAAAAAGCAGAATGAAGAGAACAATATACATAATGACAACAATAATATAAATAATAATACCAAAAAGAAGTCATAGATTGTAGTATTATGAACTTAGAGCTGGAAGGGACCTTAGAGGCAATGTATTCTGACCTCTTCATATTACGGATAAAGAAATTGGACCCAAAAAGGTTAAGTGACTTGGTCTTATTTGAATTGGATGAATAATGATAGTCCTGGTGAACTGACAAGAAAATATACATACCTTCCTGTTCTTAGTAGAGAGGTGCACCTATGAATCTGGAATGCAGTATACTCTGTGAGACATCAGAGCTGTGTTAGTTGGCTTTGTTTAAAATTTTCTGGGGGAAGTACAAGGAAGGTTTCAATGGGGAAGAGAAGTATTAAGGGGAAATATCTATAGTGTGAAAACAAAAGGAAACAAGCTAATTTTTTAAAAGAAAAAAAGTTGATGCTAATATAACTTGGCTATTTAACAGATTGTGGAAAGAGTTTTTTTGTCAAATTGCAGGATAGAGAAATGTGCTATGAGCCTTGGTGGTAAAAACTGTAATATGGAATGTCTAAAGAGCATCAAACAGCACAGACGATTTAGGAAATGATCAGTAATTAGAAAGAATTTTTAGGTGATGTGAGACTTAGCTAGTCTGTACACAGATCTCATAAACCCACCTTTCTGAAGAATTACTGCCTCTTCAGATTATGTGGGAGATAATATCAGGTTGCAAGTAATATTCAAATGCAACTCTTTTAACCCTTAATGTAGAGAGTATAGTGGAAAAGCAGTGAACTTGACTTTCTATCAAGGGTAAACATTGTGGCTAAATAGTTGTGTTGTCAATTAACTTATGGGAGGTAATATGACAGAAGAGGAAAAGTTCAAAAAGCATTAAACGTATAGTTATAAGGTTTGTTTTCCAGTCTCTTTTGTCACTCACTAGCTTTGTGACCTTGAACAAGTCACTTATTTTCTTCATATCAGTTTCCTCATCCATAAAATGGAGCTAATAATACCTGCGCTCAGATTATTATTATCATTAATAGTGATTCTGTTTTATGCAGTACTTCATAGATTACAAAGCTGTGTTGTACTGTACTTGTACTGTGTTTGTACTTGCACTGTGCAGACAGTGTAAATACTACTATTGCTGTTTTGCATACAAGGAAGTTGAGGCTAATTGACTTTCCCAAGGTCATAAAACTGCAAATCGGCGGAGTCAGGAATCAAACACGTCTCCCTACTCTTACTATGACAGCCTGCAAGTGAGGTAATGATGGTTAAAGATTTTCATAAACTATAAAGCAATAGACAATTATAAGGAGCTATTTTTAACTTTTCTGTGCTTCTCATTTTTAAGATGAAGGTGCTGGGTTAAATGATCTCTAAGGATCTAAGAATCCTTTTGTCATTAAAGAAGGAGCAGAAATATGAAAATCTCTTGGTTACTGCAATCAAAAAAGAAACAAGGCCTTGGAAATAATTTTATTATATTTACAACTTAGTCTTGCTGTATACACTAGTTACTACTGTATAGTTTACATATTTTACAGAATTAAAATAAAACTACCCTGTTTAAGCCCTTCCTCCTCCTTCCCCCCTCCCCAGTTGTCTTTACACAGACAGAAGCTGACTGGCTGTGCAGTGCAGGCTATCCATTTTGTTCATTCAACATGAATGACAAGGTTAGGAATGGAAGCATTAGTTAATAATAGGACAAAAGAGATTTTTTCCCCCTACTTATTATGAGTTTGTCCATACTGCCTCAGTTTTGGTGTCTAAAGGAGATATTTGAGAAAAGATTTTACTCCAGCTAACGTTCAGGGCCACTGACATGGGCCTAATTTCGTCCCATTTATGTTGTGAGCTAATATAATTTGCTAAATGTGGGGAGAAAAAAGTCCTTGTGGGGAAGGAAGAACTATTTCTCCAAGAACTTACTCTACTTCATACTTATAAATGCATTGTTTTGACTCCTTCAGTCCTTTATTTGCTTTTGCTATCCTAAGTTAATTTATAGGTAATGATATGAAATTATAAGATACAATTAAAATTCATCCATGTTGAATAGTTTCCATATGTTATTCCATGCAATGAACCTTTACCATTGATACATTCAGCAATGAAATTCCTTTTCCCAGATTATATGAAGCTTATCCTACCTACTTCAGCAGTCAAGAAGATCCTTGAAAGGTAAGTCTAGTCTTGAATGATTTCTTTAAGGAGATTCACTCTTCTCTCCCCATGTCTTGAAATGTACAGTTTTCATGAACCAAATAAGACTATTCAATATTCAAATTCATTCTAAAGAAGAACTTCTTTAGTGCAATTTCCTTTCTAGAGATACAGTAATATGGCAGGTGAATATAGAATAGGCTAATTGCTTGCTGCAAAATTCAAGCATCAGGACAGAGCATTTTTATAACCTCTTTGGAAGACTTGCAGGTTTTAGTGACTCTCTGTTTTAGGAGTATGTTTCTAGGCCTTGTGCTAAAGAACATATGGTATCTTTAATACATTTTTGATGCTCCATTAAAAATCATAAAGAAGAAATCTTCACTCAAAATATTTGGCCAAATTCCCCATCAACAGAGGGAGCATGAATTTAGAGTATTCACTGCTAAAATTAGATTTTGTGACAGTTAATTTTGATGATTATGAATATGTCATTAACATTACTGAGAACATTATCAGTAAGGACCTCATTGTTGGAAGTACTGCACAGTACTGTGCTGTGTTACCCTACGTCGGGATGTCATTGGGGAGTCCATGGTTTGGCAGACATGAACATCTGGACTTACCATTTGGGTCACTTCAATATCAGGGCCTACCATTCCACTGCCACTCATCCCAGTACCCATGCAACCACTGGTCATACTGCTATTACTCATGGCAGTCATACCTGGACTTGGCACTACTCTTTCAGTGTAGATCACATTATGTGTGTTGGCTAACTCAGCAGGTACACAAATGTTTCCTTGCACAGCATAGGCAGGTCCCATCACTGTTTCTGTAACCAGGACATTGGGAACCAACTGAGGTTCAAAAATAATGGTAGTCGGTTGTACACACTGGTCAGAAGTACTATATGACTCTGTCACTATAATGTCACTATGAATCGTGGGATCAGGCATTGCCATTTCTGCCTGGAATCCAGCCTCTGTGAGAGACATTGCTGAAGATTCATTAACAATGTAATTTGGTCCAAGTAGGGGAAGATCAGTAGTGATTGGTATCCAGGCCTGGTGAGGAGATGGAAATGGTTCAATTTCTGTGTCTAAGCATATTTCAGCTAGAGTCCTAAACTTTGGATCCAAAGTTTCTAAGGAGCTATCATCCAGGTCATCTACAATCCAGCTGCAGCAGCCAATGGAACCCACAGGAGACCCCATTCCTTCATGGTCATAAATAAGAAGGCAGTCATTTGCAGGTCGACATTCATCTTCATCTGCATAAGCGTAGGCTTTCTAAAGGTAGAGCAAAGGTAGGGAATTAGAACTGTTTTCACTTCTTAAAGTATCAAACAATATAAATATTGATGCTTCTGTGGTTTATTTATTTATTTATTTTTTTGGCCTGTGGAATGATGGGACTGAGAAATGGCTAAGATCTTTTTGTAAGAGGGGTGGGTATCACAGGTGCATTATATTTGCATGAACATTTTGTGAATACTCATGTTTGGGAAATGATTTTAACGATCATTTCCATATTCTACTTAGAGGCTAAATTCTGACCTTTGGGATTTGTCCCCTTGTATATCTGAAATAATATGATCAATATACTTTCTGAGAAGCTTGAAATATTTGACTTTTTTTTCCAATGAAGAAATGAAACAGAGTCAATGTAATCCTGGCAAGAAAATTTAACTACAAAATGCTGGGACTTTAATTACTATGTATAGGACTGAAATTACTAGTAGGAGAATTGGTGGTCACTTCCATGACATTATTTAGGTGAGTCAGAAAGGCTGTCTAAATTCTAAGATTAGAGAGTAATTCCTTAGGTTTCTCAGAGTTTGTCTGCCCCAAGATTGAAATAAGAGTATCCCTGGAATGGTGTGGTAATGAGCTTTTTCATAGTGACGGGTAGCTGAGAGAACATGGTTCCTTGACTTAGAGTACAAAGTAGCTACCTAGAGGGCATGAATTTCTAGGAAGATGAAGAGGAGGACTACATGAGGAGGTAGGAGGATGCTGAAGACAACTCTTGCCTAACTTAAAATTTTTCCTAAAGTTGATTGAACATTTGGGGATGAGGTTTTCAGAGAAGACAATGGGTCACAGATTCTCTCAGCAGCACCATCTTTGCTTGATTCACCAATAATGTTTTGGAACATAAGAAAAGGGGGTCTTTGATTTTCTTCATTTTGAAAAACACTCATGAACAAAGGATAAACCTTAGGGACAATCCCTTCTTTTAACACACCACTGGGGATTTTGTGCTAAATATAATTTCAATTATACTGTCAAACTACTGCTCAGTGATGGCATTTCCTGATGAATACTGAGCAGTGCTGGCAGCTAACTCCACCTCTAATTGCTGAGTTTAGCAGATGTTATCAGTCAGATTCTGCAAGAGTATTCATAGTCATAAATAGTATAGGCCATATTAATTCCTCCATTTCCTTTCATCCATTCCCATGAATAATAAAACACTGGGGCAAATTGGAATCTGACCTGAAATGAGCTGCTAATTAAACAGGTCAGACTAATTAAAAGAAACTCAGTATGAATTATTTGCTGTTTAATGATATGATATTACGCTTATATAATGATTGGCTGGGGTGAGAGTGGGGTTCTTCTTTACTAAAATCACAGAAATTTAATTTTTTCTTTTGGAAGCAGCACCATGACAGAGAAAGAATATTGGATTAGAATTCTGGGGACTGTATTCTAGTCTTTGCTTGGCTAACATCTAGGCATTTGAATTGTTCTAAAACACTTTAAAATCTCTGGGCTTTACTTTCTTTATCTGTAAAATGAGAAGGTGGAACTCCAAATTCTCTGAGGTTGCATCTAATTCTGTGATTCTGTGTATTTCCTCTAAATTGACATTTCTTGACACTTCTCAAACCATGAACTATCTAACTTTACCTCTAGATCTCTACTTAAAAAAGAGAAACTGAGTAAAATGACATTTATTTAAAAAGAGGTTATTCAAAAAGAGATTTTCCCCCAGGAGGTGGTTTGCCATTAGTGATGGAAAATCTGAATTTGGAATCATCCAGATTTTAATCTGGTTTGATTTCTTTTGGATATATATTCAGAAACTCCTAATGTTAAAATTATCGCTTTACACCAGGAAGTATACTTACCCATACTCCAGTTTTAACCAGAACAATAGGTCTTATAAAAGATGGCAGCACTATATTATGTAATTGGATTAAGGTTGCAACTTCCTGTTAACAGGGCAGGGCCTTTTTAATTCAAAATAGACATATCCCTTAAAAAGGGAAGGCACCCCACAAATGACTGTCAAATTTAGTATAGATCTCAAAATACAGTTATGATTTTGTCTCCCACCTTTGGGGGAATTGGGGAGCATGCTACAAGGATTCACAAAAGAGAGAACAAGTGACCTGATTGGATTTGAAGGTGTGCGAGGACATAAGAATGGGATGCTTACAGAATTTTGTCTTGAACTTTGTACTTTCTTTCCTGGTGGGTTCAGCAGAGGCATGGCTACATACATACTGTTTTCTTTTGGTCCTTCTCTCTATAACTTGCTACCTCTGTCTCTGTTTCTTTTTGCTATCTCTTGCTGTCTCTGTCTTTATCTCTCTAGATACAGCTATCTTTCTCTCTACCTCTCTAGCTATTTATCTCTGTTTCTTTCTCTCTCTCCACCTCTCCTTCCCTACATAGTAACTGCATATTAATTATTATAAATGAGTTCTGTGATCTTGGCAGAATTCCTTATGTATTTGTATCTTTAGGGTTATTATTGACAGTTACAGTCTCAATTAAGTAATGTTCTTATGGATTTCCATGATTGTATTGAACTAGAAATTCAACTCCTTCTCTTCCCCATCCCCACCCTCAAATTCTGAGGGCTACCAAGTTCCCATTAAATACCCTTTGTGTTTATTTTATTGATTGAGATTGAGCTCATCTCCTTATTCTACTGGACACTTGCTCAAGGCCAAGAGAGTCTATCTGGAAAGAGAATCACTTCATTAAGCAGTTCCATACAACATATTAAGTGTGTGTTTGTTGAATTAATTCTTTGTAAATCCCTGGAATTTCCCAGAAGTTAGACTTGGCCAAACCATGGCCAAAGAAATAATTTTCAGGTTCAATGAATGAAAGGCTAAAAGTAATATTGCAAGAAATCAAACCAAACCAAAAAAACACCTTCACAGGTTCTCTCCAGGCATAAGTAGCTGGTTAAACTACCAGCCCTGGGGAAATAATAAGGATGATGATACTTTGAATTTATATGGAGTTTTTGTCTCAAGAGCTCCAAGAAGTGCATATGCTTATTATCTTGTTTATACTTACAAAATAGATGAGGTGGGCCTGGGACTGATATTTAACCCCTTTTTATAGACTGAGAAGATGAAGCTCAGGCATATTGCCGCAGGGCGAACAGCTTTTTTTTTTTTTTTTTTTTTTTTTTTTTGGATTCTCCTGGGCCTTTTTTCTTTTTTCCCATTCTTTCTTCTTCCCTCCCCTTCCTGGAAGGTACTGCTTGATTGTGCTGGATACTGAGATAAATGCTGCACTTTGTAGGCCCAAGTTCACAATGAGATTCCCATAGGCCCTCATATGATTTTCTTCCTCCTAAAATATGTCATTGTGTCCTTCTGATTTTTTTCTTCCTTCTCCCCCCTCCTTCATCTTAGTTTTCTTTCTTTTTTCCCATCCAGCCCTGTTTTAATTGAAGATTCAAGCCTGTTCTTGGTTATGGCACCACCTTCTCGAGTTCTACTGCAAACTATCACTTTCTATCCTGTGTAACTTTCTCCTCCTTCGGGTTGGTGTCTCAGTCTTGGTCAGGGTCCTTCAGGTTTCCCTGCACTGGGAGGGAGATGGGGAAAGAAGTAGAAAACTCCAAACTGGGATGGATGGGGAGGAAGAGGAATCTTGTAGTTATTGGAGTCAAAAGGAGAAAAAAACTAGAAAGAGGATGAAATGGAATGATATTTAGAGTTTCTTGACTATTCCTGGCATCAAGGTTTATTATAACAATTGAATAGAAGAAATAAATACAATCTTATAAATAAGAGCATTGGATTTATAAAGGGAGCCAGGTGGCAGGGGATAAAGTACTGGGCCTGATATCAGGACTCAGTGTCATACACTTACTGACTGTGTGACCCTGGGCAAGTAACTTAACCTCAGTTTTCTCATAAAATGGGGATAATTATAACATTTACCTCCCAGGATTATTGTGAGAATAAAATGAAATGACATTTATAAAGTGCCTTGCAAACCTTAAAGTGCTATATATATGCTCACTATTATGTATATATTTGTACACATATAGACTATATATGTATATGTATGTGTATATACACATATATACATATACACATATACATATGTTGTGCAGTATAGTATGTATATATGTATATATATGTATATACATAATATATTACATATATAGATTGTGAGCTCCTTGAGAGCAGGGATTTTTTTTTTAACTTTCTTTGCATCTTTAGCATTTAGGACAGTGTTGGTGGTGCACAATAGGCCCAAATGCTAGGTTGACTGACTATCTTGTTTGATTATAGTCATATTAATAGTAGCAGGGATGAAAAATACTTCTAAACAGTTTTTATTATAGTGACAATTTCATTAAACTGCCACAGTAGAGGATGTGATTTAAAACCTCAGTATAACCCAAGCTCTGATGTGCTATAGCGAGGTGCTTTATGACAGAGGTTTTTCCCCCTCATATTGTGCATCATGGTTATCAGAGTCACATGAAAAAGACCCCAGATCAAACAGAACATATCACCATTTATGAACCCTCATTCTTGTGTCTGTGAAGGGCTTACCTCAGAGAAGTAGCTGTCCAAGAAAGCCATATTCACGCCTGTTTCTGTGTATTCCCTCAGTGTTCCTATGGTAGAGCCCCGTCTTCTCACTGCCCCGGCAAGTCCCCCAGCCCCAAGACTTAGCGCTGCTCCAACTCCTGTATTCAGCTCAACGCCAGACACCCCAGAAGCGCCTCCTTCAACAGTGCCTCCACCTGCATATGTGTTGGTGTAGATCTCTGGAAAGAGTGTGTTTTCATGTTATATGACTTAAAATTGTTTTAGGGCTTTGTCATCTAAGTACATGCATGATCCTTTTCCTGTTGACTGAGAAAGTTTTATTGTATGAAAAAATTAAACAGGTAGGTAAAAGCTAGGGGGAAATGGCTCCAGCAAACTGTGTGACCCTAGGCAAATCACTTAACCTCTTTTTGCTTCAGTTTCCACATCTGTAAAAATAAGAATAATGACAGCAACTACCTTAACAAGGTTGTTGTAAGGATCAAATGAGATAATATTTGTAAAGTACTTACTAAGCATAGTACCTGGCACATAGTAGGCGATATATAAATGTTAGTTATGATGATGATGATGATGACTTTGAGGTCTCCTCTTATTCTGTATATGTGATCCTATTATCTGAGTTGAATTACCATCCCTGCTACTTACTGTGTGACCTGCATCGAATCACTTGACCTATCTGAGATTCAGTTCCTCATCTAGAAAATGAGAGGGTCGGCTTCAGTGACCTTCAGTATATCTTCCAGCTCCCAATTTATGATCTTACACTTCTAATATCCCAAGTTTTCTCTGGGATCTCTGGACATAGAAACCAAATGTATTTCTAGTTCATATGAGAGTATCCAGGTAATTCAGACTTCTATCTTCCTCTTCTTAGGCCCTTAGATTCTCTCCCAGTCTAAAGAGGGTAAGTAAGGCAGGTAGTGAGCAGGAGTTGGATTAATGGTCCTTCTAGGGTAAAGTTGCTGCTTCTTCTTGTGACTCATCAAGTTGCACTGCCTACTTAAGAGGGCTTTCTTTTTTTTTTTTTTTAAATCTATATGATGTTGACCAGAGCAAGTGGGTCTTTGGATGCTTTCTAGAAACTTCCATAGATCCTCTTTGCCTAGTGGTGGAGTGAGTGGCCTGCCTTCTACAGGCAACCTTAAAGTTACAACCTTTCTCCTGAGAGGATTGTTCTTAGACTTCTAAAGAGAGAAGTTTTGGACTAGCTCCCCAGTTTGGAGGATTGTGCAAGACAAATATGCTTGTTTCAGAGTTGTGGAAAATCATTTTCCTCTTCCATAATGCTCTCCACTGGCCTAAATGGTTTTTCTAAAGAGTCTTGGGCATGCATGTGACTGGCATGAAAAATCCACATGGAGAAGAAGAACTTGTAAATTCTTTATTAGATGGTGCCCCCATTTCTTCTCCCTTTGCTATTGTAAAAATAATACCCTAAGGCACCCAGGAGTATGTTTTTCTTAGACATTATATTTCACTCCCACTGTAATGTTCATACCTTGTATGTACATTTTTGGGAAGTTATTAATTAGAATGTGAACTCCTTGAGGACAGGGACTATTTTTTACCTTTCTTTGTATCTCTAGTGCTTAGCACAGTGCCTGATTCATACAAAGTCCTCAATAAATGTTTATTGACTGACTGAGAAAAAAAAAGAATGACTACCCCAAATCCCAATCTCATGATTGTAGCCTATGATGGGTATTCTATGACAAAGAGAAGCTTCCTTATGAGTTTAACCAGGCCAACTCAGTTTTTCAGGTTGCTTCTGTAACAGGCATGATTGTAGGGATTTCCTGATATGATAGAACGTATCTCCCTCTGAATGGAGCCAAAGCACATATATCCCAGATCTATCTCCTGGGTTTAATCAATCAATCAATTCAAATTTATTAAGTCTCTATTATGTGCCAGGTACTATGTTAGCATAGTAAACCTAGGTATACAAAAAGAAGCAAAAGGCCATACCTGCCCACAAGGAGCTTATAATCTCACAGTTCAAATCCTGGTTCTTCCACTTGTGAGCTGTGTGATTTTGGGAAAGTCACTTCAATTTTCTAGGCCTCAGTTTCTTTGTCTATAAAATGATGAGTTTGGATTAAACGGCCTCTGAGGTCTCCTTCCTGTTCTAGAGCTCTGATTGTATAATCCATGATTAAGTCTTTTACACTTCAAAAGCAGCAACAAAGCTTCATATCTACTAACCAGAAGATTCCATGCGATCCTGTGTGTTGGAGGCGGTTACAGGCACGCAAATATTGGAGACATCCTGAAAGAAACAAAAACATCCCCAAAATATTAGTTAAAGGATAAATACTGTGATCCAACTTCTCCTTCTCTAATGCTGCCTTATTATTTTTTCTTCTTCATTTATTTTTTGGGAGTTGAAAAACAGTCAAGAGGCCCCAGATGTCTCAGTTCTCCATTTCTATGTACATACCATGCTTCATATATGAAGGAAAGTAGATTGAAACTCACTCTGTCCTCAGGATGGGCTCCTTCTATCCCCCATGACTGCATCACTCCTTCACCCCCCTCAGGCACAGGGGCAAATCGAGTTCCCAGGCCTGCTGGTGCCTTTCGTTTGCAGCAGCATATGAGCAGCAGGAGTGGCATTACTGACCGAGAAAGGGATGATGGACAGTTAACAAAAGATCTGTAAATTCCAGAGTCAAGCATTACGTTAAAAAACAAAAGAAAACAAACTAAGGAGGGAGGTAAAGATGTAAAATGGTAATCCCCCTTCTCCTACATATGTATGCATACAGAGTCATGGGTAGAACTTTAAAACTTCAAGGGCTTGATCACTCAATCAACAAACATCCCCTATGTCTCAGGTACCAAATACTGGGGCCACAAACAAATAATGAAACAACCTCTGCTCTCAGGGATCTTAAGTTCTATTGGGACCTGGGCAAGTCACTTAACCTTGTTGGTGTCAGTTTTCCCACCTATAAAATGAGCTGGAGAAGGAAATGACAACTCTAATATCTTTGCCATGAAAACCCCAAATGGGGTTACAAAGAGTCAGATATGAGTGGAAAACGATTTAACGAAAATAACCAACACTCCATAAAATTTTGCAATATTCCTGAAGACCTTCATGTTTTCTCTTTAGGTCCTGGCCTACCAAGCTTCTGGGGACAGCACTAAAAATTCCTAGTGGCAGCCTGATTCTTGCTATGAGAAATCATTTTACTGCTCACAATTAAAATGGTGTTAGAACCCCATAATAGTAATAGAGCTGTTTTCTGAAAGCAAACAAACAAACAAACAAACATATGAAACCTCACGTTTAGAGCCTTTTACTAGTTAAGCTTGCCTATTCTAGTAGACCCGGAGATTATTGCTTACAATACTTTTCACTAAGAAAAGGATCTGGTCAAAAGTTCGGTTAAAAAGTTATTTCCCATCCATAATAATTGGAATTCAGTATTGTTTAAAGTAATCATTTAACTTATATTCTTCTCCTTAGATATAGTCAAATATATGTGATAATGCCACCCTCTGGTGGCAGTTTCAGAGAATTAGGATCATGTAGCATCAGAGCTAAATGCTGGAAATTATTTCGTCCAGCGCCCTCGTTTTACAAGCCAGGCTCTGGGCTGAGAGAGATTAAGTAAATTGCCCAACATCTCACAATGAAAATGTAGAAAGATCAGGATAAAATTCACTGCTACCTTCTAGTCCGGTGCTAATTTTCCTCAAATAATTCTCTCACAGAAACTCTAAATGCTATGACTTTTGATCCCTAAAAAAATAGCCAGATCATGGTTATCAGAGTCACAAGATCCCAACTACCCGGTGCCAGGCCTCCCTCACTCCTCTATCTGCCTGCTACCCAACTATCATGGCTCTTTTATCAGTCAGGACAGCCTTTATGCTGGTCAGTCTTAGAGCACCCTAATACTGCCATCTGCCTGTCCAGATTGCCATCTATTCACCTGCTTCAATACTCCTCTAATTCACCAACCACTTAGACTCTTGGGTCTCAGATGTCTCTAAACTGACCTGTCTCTTAGTCATCAAGCCCCAGTACTGATAACTGGCTATTTGCCAAGATTTTTTTTTTTATCACAAATATAGATATGTATATATGGACGCATGGACATACATTTGTCTATATGCATTTGTCTCTCTATACACATACAGTATACATAAATAAATGCATAAACAAACAAATAAATGTTATTTTAAAAATTGTCAGATGAACATGAGAAGATAATCCAGTGGTCATATTCTGGTTTTAGAAAATCGACTGACGAGGGCTTAACTCAATACTTACATAGCAGTAATAAGAGACCTAAGACAATGAGACCAATTCCAGCTGGTCCAAGTCCCACGTTGCCGTCACCAATTCTGTCACCAGCGACAGTACCATAATTGTTAGCAGTAACTATGGTGATGCTGGGGCCCCCCGGGTAGATGCCGGTTGTGCTGTAGTAAGAGCACATGTGGTTGTCATCACATTCACAAACTTCTAATGGTATAATTTGTGGCAATTCACAAGTTCTGTCATAGGTGTCTTTCACTAAGATGGGAACTTGGTAAAGTCCAGGTGATAACTGTTGCATAGCAGTGAGTATTGCCGAGGTAGCTTTTACAAAGGAAGAAAAGAAATGGGAAGGTTAGTTTTCCTTAATAAAATCATATAATTTTGAGTTAGCAGGGATGTCTACAAGACATCTAGCTGTTCTAGCTTTTGTTTCTTATAGCAAGTTTACAGCTACATTGCCTAGCAGTAAAAGTTTTTTTTATCCTTTATTCAAAATTACTACATTTTAATCTAGACTCATTCCAATGACTATTTGTTTTCTCAGGCTACATAGCTCTCCTTTACTTATCCAGCAACATTTGCTTAAATACTGGGTCATAGGATCATAGATTTTGAGCTGGAAGGGACCTTTATGGTCACCTAGTCTAGCCTACTTATTTAATAGATAATGAAATTGAGATTTGGAGAGTTTGATTGATTTGCTCAAAGTTACATAGGTAAGTGGTAAAGGAAGGATTTTTTTTTATATTTGATTTTTTTAAATTTTGAAAATCACAAACATGAAATAAAATGAACATATTATATACACCATAAAATAGAAAAGGAAGATTATACATGAAACAAATATGGTTAGCTTGAATTTCTTTTTGAGTAATAATGAATTCAAAATAATACTTTTAAAGCTTTCTCATTCCTTCTGGTATTCCTTCAGTTCTATTTTATGTATTATTACATCAATTCCTTTCCTTATTATTTTGGGGTGTGGATGATGAAGGGCAAGACAATCCTATTGCTAGTAACCCTCCCACTGCCATCCTCTCCTACCCAAAACTGAAAAAAAAATGAACCAATAAAACATGTGATGAAAGCACATAGTCAAGGAACGCAAATTGCCACACTGTCCATTTCTCAAAATAGGCTTTTTATTCTACAGCTTTTGTCCATTACCTCTTGGTAAGGAGGCAGGGTGTACAAGTCTTGCTAAATCTCTCATACACTGGTGAACAATTACAATAACAAGAGGTGGGACATTTTGCTAAGTTGTTGGTTGTCACTATGCTGTACGTTAGAAAATACTCCCTGTAGTCTGCATTAGCCCATCCAACCATTCCAGGTTTCGCTGACGTTGCATGGGTTTTATGCCATGTCATTGTTCTTAAATATCCACACACCACAATTTGTTCACTTCTTGCCCTACTTATTGTAGGATGTCACATCTTACTTTCTAGGTCTTCAACATACCAAAAGGAGCTGGTATCAATATGTTTGTACACTTGGGTTCCCTTCCTGTCTTGAAAGGGATATGCCCTCTAGTGGAATCATTGAGTCGAGGATTTTGTGATTTGGGAGGATCTTCACAGATTCAATAGGAAACTGATGTGTGTTTCCCATAACCCTTCCTATTTTTTTCAAATTTTTTTCTCTTCATTTTTTTTCACTTGTATGGGGGGGAAGTGGAATGTCAGAGTTGATTTAATTTGCATTTAACTAATGATTGATTTAGACCATTTTTGCTTAGGCCTTTTTTTTTTTAAAGGCGCATTTATTTTCTCCTTCCTTGATCTACCCTATGTGAAAGGAAGAAAAGAAAAATATAAAGCTCTTGTAAAAAGTACACAATTAAGGAAAACAATTCCAATTCCAATATTTGTGATGCTCATTTTCTTACCACCTTTACCAATCTGAAAATCATTCTAATTATTATTGATTTGGATTAGTGATTATAGAAGTAGTTTTTTTTTCTTATACTTATTGATTAGAGGAAGGATTTGAACCCAGAGCTTCTGGGTTGGGGTTAAATATCAATCCAGGGCGAATTTTAAGAAAAGCAAATGTATACTAAACCAATGAAAACTTAGTCATTAATCCAAAGTACCAGATACATGTGTTATAAAATAATTTTATGTTCATGGGCTTTGCTAGGTAATGGGTCAAGCCATGGCTTTTCAAACATACTTTTAAAAGAATAAAAGATTTTGAGATCTGGTAGAAATCTTATGGGAAGCAGTGTGGCATAATAAAAAGAGAGCTTGGTTTAGAATTCAGGATGCTTGACTTTCCTAGTCTTAGATTTGTCTTTAACTGTATGACCTTGGGTAAATAATTTCACCTTAGAGTTTCCTTGTCTGATAAATGAGGGATTCAATCAAAATGATTGCTAAGATACCTTCTAACTCTACCATGCTATGATGTAATCTCTGCTGATATCACCTGTATTCATTTAAAACTAGTTAACTTCTAAGTTGAGAATTGATTTTATAAAGGGGTTCTATTATATAATTATTAATTGTCAACTTACCCTTATTGATAAATCATTTGTACTTCTATTTCAAATCAAAGAATGTTCCTAAGCTTCTCCTTAAGTGTTCTAAATATGCACACTATCTCTTACTTTATTACAACTCTTTGGGATGAATCAAATACTTTGAGAAAGAAGTGATTTTTTTTGGATTTGAAAGTAACATCAAGCTTACATTCTGCTTACCATTTATTGACCTGATATCCCATAGGTCAGCTGTCCCCGGTGGCTGATCCATGATGCAATATGTAAAGGGTGAGCCAAAAGAATCATCCCTTGTTGAGATAATGACTGATGGGGAGGCTACACAGATATGTCTACTGTCAGAGAAAATTATGGGGCAGAAATCGTTGACATCAGGAACTTCGACACATATTGTCCCTGTTGCAGTTTTCCCAATGCCATCTGAAACAACAGTGTTACAAATAATTAAGATAAGTGATACCCAACGCCAACTGTCTTTTGCCTTGCTAGAGGTTATTGCAAGATTCAGAAGTGCTTTGAGGAGGTTCTCAGAGATAATGGATAATCCATTGAATCTTTCAGTTGAGAATGATTGAAGCTAAGGTTTACAATCCTGAAATAGAGATATTAGCATCCACATGACTGATGGCTAATTATTTTCAAAGGCAACCATTAGGTCTTTTGGAATTTAGGTAAAAACATTTTTTTTCTCACTGCTATTTTCTCAATCTGTAATAGGATACCTTTTATATTTACAGAGCTATAAGGACATTTATAGACTGAGTCTACCCTATTAAAAAAAATCATTTGACTACTTAGAAGTAATTACTTGGAGAAATCACATTTACTCTAATAAGTAGCTGGGGGCGCTCTGATGCTGAGCCAGAGGCTGAAGGGCTGACAAGCTACTGGAAAAACTTTTGACTTTAAGTAAAGTGAGTTACAATGCAATGTTTTGTTGGGGTCTGAGTACAAAATCATACAATTTTAGAACTTTATGTCTTTGCAAATGATAGTTAAGGAATAGAAATAAAATTGTCAAATTGTGTCTTAGACTTTTAAAAGTTGCCTTAAAGGATAAACTTAATGATTGTTTGATGCCTTGTTCATTGTTTTCAGTTTAAACCAACAAGCATTTATTGAACACCTACTATGTGCGAGGTAAGTGTTCGTTCTTTCCCTTAGGGAATTATAAATGAATAGGGGAATAAGGGACTCAAACAAGTAAATATATAAAAAAAAATGGAATTTGACCATGTATTGAGATAGGATAAAATTGTTACTTCTAGTTTAAAGGAGTTAAGTTTGTTATTCAAGCATTTATTAAGTGTCTACTGAATGCCATGCATTGTGGTAGGCACCAGGGATCATTTTTCTCTGGAGAAGGGAGGACTATCTTTCATGGAGGAGGTAGAATCTGAACTGTGCCTTGAGAAGTGACCTACTCACAACCAGGCTTACATTCAACTCATTTTACTTGATAATAATGATAATCTGCATTGATAGAAATTCCTCATTGGGAATTTCCTTAACTAATGAAATCAAAGTCTCAGCCAAGAACAAAACAAACTATTATTATTGGAGATATTGATATGACATATTGATATGAAACTCATTCTTAGGTTAAAGACAATATATAGGAGGTCCCAGGTTTCCCTCTAGTCACTGTAATAATAAATAGTTCATCATCTTTGGTACTTCTTATACTTTAAACTCATCATGAAGCTTGATACCACATTAACTCTTAGCTCTTTCTGCTTGATCCTTATGGTTTAGAGACACCCTCCCCTTAATGTTTTCTGAGAAAAGCTATAAAATTTTAATGTCATTTAATTTTACAGTCAAAGCTTCCTTAGTATGAAAAAATGGCCATTAGTTTCATTGCTAGCATTTGTATTTAGTTTCAAAAAGAAATGACTATGAAAGCAAATTGAAAACAATTTTCTTACCTTCGACAGCCAGAATCTCAGCTGCGTATATCCCATTGATAACATATTTTGATTTTGGATCATATTCCCTGGAAAACTGTATCTCTCCTGTCCTTGAATCAACTTTTAACCAGTTGGCTGCATCATATCCCATGACATATCTGTTTTTGATTAAAAAAAACTCAGTATTATGCTATGATGATAGTAATTTTAAATTTCAGAAAACAATAATGTGCTAAAATGTACTGTAGGTTTAGCAGAATGATTAAGCACTCTTTGAGAGTCAATACAACAAAAGCTATTCATGTTTTGGTAAAACACTGAGAATAACAAATGGTGTTTTAGGGTTCGAAAAGTCCTTCACATATATTTTCTCCTTTGATCCTTACAAAAACCCTATAAAGGAAGTGCAATAGATATATTAACTTGTTATTATTTTATGAACAAAAAAAAATGAGGCTAAGAAAATTTAAGTGCTTTTCCATGGTCACCAAACTAGCAGATATTGGAAACAGAATTCAAAAGTTTACCTTTGCCTTTTAGCTTCCTTGGCTTCCTTGAAGATTCAGCTCACATCTCATGTTTTTCAGAAGGCCTTTCCAGATCTCTCAAACTATTGATATCTTCCCTTTCCATTCTGGATATATTTTGTATGTAAGTAGTCACATGTTGTCTCTCTCATCAGAATGAGAGTCCTTTAGGGAAAGGACCTCCCTTTTAGCCTTTCTGTGTATCCCCAGTGTTTAGTACAGTGTCTGGCACAGAGTATTTATATACTTAATACTGATTGTTTGATTGGTTGGTTGTAAAGAAGGACTTTTCCAAGTAGGAAGGAGAGTGAGGGCAGTGACAAAGGATAAGAGGGAGCAATTTAAAGACAAAGTATGTGTCTAGAATTCACCATAGGAACTGCCACAGCGCGTCCAATAAATGTTGATACTTTTTTCACCCAGTTACTTTAACTACTTCTTTGTCACTCTTTGTTACTCTTTGCTTTCTTCAAATTAGCTATATTGCTGAAATATCCCTGTCCTAAATCTTTCTCTTAGCCTTAATCTTTCGAGATGATCTGGGTTAAACCAAAGCCTTTGTCAATTGTTGGTTTTAAATAATCTGTTAAAGTACTTTTACTCTTAGGGTCTTTCAATGCTTGTGGGACACATTTGATTGGAAGAAGATCAGACTCCCATAGAATAATTGAGCGGTTCTTTCAACTTCTAACACCAGATGGTATCATTTAAGATCATCTCTCCTCCATCTTCTTTTACCTCTGGTTCATAATCTTAGATAACTTACAGAGTTTATAAACGCATCCTCTGAAAATTTCATGGGAGATTTCAAATGCTACAATATTATCTCTAAAAAAAATCCAATTATATGTTTTCTGTATAAGTGAACAACTGACCTAACAATGGTTTACCACACTAAATGATGAGTGTTGTACCTGACATTTGTGGCTGCAATCCCAGTATCCAAGTCAGTGGCTGTATATCTTCCAAGGACATAATTTAATAAGGCATTTCCTCTTAAGCCTTCTTGTATTCTGAAATTCATAGAGTTTGGATTAAATATTGGTCCTTCTCTGACATTAATAACCTGTATCCTGATGGGAATGGCCTGGATCCGGTAGTGAGAGGCAACAGAATGGTGAAATTCAGCTTTGTTTTTAACACCGATACTAAGTTGCATATTGGGCATCTGTTCATAATCCAACATCTGAAATGATAAAATGTGAGAAGTTTGTTAGATATGGTCTCAGATCTACCACTAATCGTGCGATGAGGTTATTAAGTTCCCTTTGAACACATACATTTTATGATTCTTTTATTCTATTCTGGAGCAGAAAAGCATTGTTTGAGGATAGCAAGAATATTTGATTTACAATCCATACACACATGTTAAATTATCAAGCAAGCAAATAACAAGTATTCTGAGAATGCCTACTATGTGCCAGGTGCTGTGCTGGTGTGAGGGATACCAAGAAAAGGTGACATTTCCTGCTCTCTAGAAGTTTACATTCTATCAACTATGGAAGCTGTATAAACCAGGCTTACGTTCAACTCATTTTACTTGATAATAATGATAATCTGTATTGATAGAAATTCCTCATTGGGAATTTTCTTAACTAATGAAATCAAAGTCTGAGCCAAGAACAAAACAAAGCAAAACAGAAGGCAAAGAAAGAAAGAAGAAAGAAAGGAAGAAAGAGAAAGAAGTTGTATTTGCTAATATGTATGTACTTTATTAATTTTTTCTAGAGTACACTATTTTGTGTGGTATATCTGGGTTTCGATAGATCTCTAAATGCCTTTGTTCAGTCATTTCAGTTGAGTCTGACTTTTTGTGACCCTGTGGACCTCTGTCCATGGGGTTTTTCCTGACAACGATATTGAAGAGTTTACAATATCCGGATTTGCAATATCCTTCTCCAGTGGGAAACAGGGTTAAATGACCTGCCGAAGGTCACACAACTAGATTTGAACTCGGGCTGGATTTGAACTCAGGTCTTCCTGATGCTAAATCTAGTGCTGTATCCAGTGCACCACCTGACTGCACCATTTCAGATAAAACATCCTAAAGGCTAAACATCTTAACATGTACTCTACTAAGGAAAAAATTAGTACTAGTACTCTTACTCTTCAAGAGTAACTGTGATCTGGGTGGAAAATTGAAATAAGAAATAAATAAGAAGCTGAGACAATTGGGAAATATGTATGTTTCAGAGAACTGGGATAGTTAATTTAAGCTATTTCACATTGATGGAATAACCGCCAGCTGAGAAAATAAGAGTGAAAACGAGGTTTAAGAAGACTGATCTGATTGATCAATAGTTTGTTTCAGAGAACTGAAGTCGATAATTTGAGTATTGCTTTTAATCAATTTCCTAAACAAAGGTAATGAAGAATTTGGTCTTTTAGCAGTACTCCTGGGTAAGACACAAGTTCCCTCAAGCAATTGCATGACAGCATGGATTTTTGGGTAAGTGTTTATTCTATCAAGGTAAATTCTTCATGGGCATTATCAAGACTTGACTATTCCCTCTGGAGGCTTGAAACCCTGTTTCTTATTGGTTGACAAACCAGTGCTCTCACCTTCGATTTCAGTTAAGCTTCCTTGAAAGTTTTACACTTTTGATATCACCCTTTTTGCCTCCCCCAGGAGTGCCTAGTCTAGTGAGAGCAGACCACTGTTCTTATTATCTCACCTAGAGGCATTTCTTTTTTCTGCTCCCCAAGAAAAAGAGAGAGATTTTTGTATGCACACTCAGATCTATGTCATTAGCCAGCAAAAAAAAGTTTTTATCTTCATTCATTAAGCCAGTAAGACAGAGTCAGGTTACCTGTGCACGCTCTGAATCATGGTGGGAAAGGGCCCCGCCATCATCCATTTCTGAAATTGAGTTCACTAAGCTGCCATGTGGACTGATATCAAGCAGAGCATATTGAGGATGCTCTAAGGACTCGCTTTTCATTATGCAGGGTCCCCAAAACACTCAGGTCATGGAGCTGGAAGTGACCTTAGAGGCCAGTTAGGCTAAGCCTCTCATTTCAACAAATATTTATTAGGCATAAATTATATTCAAAATACTATATTTCTATGATCGCTCTTGGAGAACTTATTTTAAAAAGTGTTGAGGGGGCAGGTAGGTGGTGCAGTGGATAGAGCTCTGGCCTTGGATCTGAGTTCAAATCCAGCCTCAGACATGTAACGTTTACTAGCTGTGTGACCCTGGGCAAGTCACTTAATCTTGATTGCCTCACCAAAAAAAAAAAAAAGTTTGTGGCAGCTAGATGGCACAGTGTATAGAGTACTGGCCCTGGATTTGGGAAGACCTGAGTTTGGGTCCGACCTCAGACACATAACCCTTGTTAGCTGTGTGACCCTGGGCAAGTCACTTAACCCCATTGCCTAATTTAAAAAAAAAAAAAAGAGAAAAAAATAAAGTGTTGAGACTCTTTACTGAGTATTTTATTCTTTGTTGAATGGGGTCCTGAATAACCAAGGTCCATTTAGATATATACAACATTTTTTTGTCTTGCCATGTGATTTCATTGGTTTAGGGGACTTCCAGTGAGTAAATCCCCTCTTCCTGGGAAGACAGACATACAATCTGCAGATTATAGGCATATAGAGTATCTTGGGAAATTAAATGACTTGCTCAGAGTCACAAGTCAGTGAGCCCAGGTTGTCCTGACTCCTGAGACTGGCATACTCTCCATTATGACACATTGACTTCCACAGTATATAACATTTACTACTTGTACAGAGTTGATTATTTTAATAGGAATGAGAATTTTCTCAAAAACCTATGCACCAAAAGACCATAGACTGCTAAATGAATAGTCAAAGATCAGTAAAGACTGAACACTAAAGATCATAGGATCATATTTAACCCATTGCTTGAGCAGGGTTAAGAACAAACATGAAAAGACCCTCCTACTCTCTCTCTCTTAAACTGTGCAAAAGTTCCTTAATAAGGCCATTCTTCTCAGTTCCACTTTCCACTGGAGACTGTGATACTAAATCAGCAGAAGTAGAAACAGATGCATATCATACATGTACATGTACAATGGTGAGACCACATGATACGAAGTAATGCATTATACTTCTGTTGAATGGACTACAAAGGCCTTTATGCTTTTCTCATGATTTTCATGCTTTTAAACATCACAACTTTATTAATTATTTTTAGTCTCTTAGAGCACTTAAAATTATCTTCTAACATAAACAACCTTCCAAGTCACCTTCTATGTCACTGTCAGACTAATATTCTCTGCTTCTTCTTCTTTTTTTTTTTGAGGCAATTGGGGTTAAGTGACTTGCCTAGGGTCACACAGCTAGTAAGTGTCAAGTGTCTGGTCAGAGACTGGACGTGAATGCAGGTCCTCCTGACATTAAGGCCGGTGCTCTATCCATTGCAGCACCTAGCTGCCCCTAATATTCTCAAAGAAACAATTTTAATCACATCATCTCTCTCTCTCTCTCTCTCTCTCTCTCTCTCTCTCTCTCTCTCTCT